TTTTTTTGAATTATTAAGCATCGTAGTTACGCTGTTCAAAACTGCCTCCGGTATATAGCAAGCAAAGCAAAGTGCTTGCTATTTTTGTCTAGATGCCTGAAATGGATATTTTTTAATGTCCATAACAATGTAGCTTCAAGCTTTAAACCTTATTTACATTTTAGTGGGCCATATTCAAACGTTAGATAAAAGCCTTTCCATTAAATTCTGTTTCAAACTAGAATCATGAAATCTTCTGTTTTTATTTCCTGTGTAACATAAATTGAGGGAATCATTTTCCTTTTCTACATTTCTTTACAATTAAATAAATAAATATCTTTTTTCCCTTTGAAGCTCAATACACAAAATTTTCAAGACTTTTATATTGAAACGATGAGGATTAACTCCTTATTGAAAATTTCTATAACAATTTAAATCCTTAGTCATTTTTAATGTAACATGAAGCGTTTTATTCCTTACAATCGTAGAAATATTATGCATAGCTTAATTTCCACATAAGCAGCACTATTAATCGCCAGTTTTCGTAAACATTTGGGAATAAGTATGTATCTTCTGTAGATGAGATGCCTGTGCAGTACGTTTTCAAGAACCTGCAAATTCGCTACTCCTAAAGGCTCCACTAGCAAACCCCTTCTCTCAAAATAAAACACGGCTCCATCTGTTCACAGCATTTTGCTGGAAAGATTGGGCCAATCTTGGTTACAAGTAAGCGTCATCTTCCCGTATTTCTTCTAATGATCACAATCTTTCGTTAATTTCTGGCTGTAATGTGATTTGCATATACGAAAATTTAGTTCTTCTTTTAGAACACTTCATATTGTGCGATGCGTATAAGCCACTTTCTTAAGATGCGTGTCTTGGTGATTACTGAAAACCTCGAGTGAACTTTGTTGAGCCACTTACGCATTTCCTTCCGTCCGAAATTTTGAAAGACGACTACATCGTGTTAATAAATTCTAATGCTGTAAAGAACAAAATGCTTCTTGTTTTATGAAAATTGATTAATGATTTAAAAATGCCATTAGCAAATTAATTTCCGCCTACTCTGAATCATCCTATGTATTCAAAATATTACGCCCTTTAGGAAACTTCAGCATATTTCAATGAAAGCAAAGTTTTGAATGTAGTTTTTAAAATATATGTTATATAATAGAAAAATCAATCGTGAAGTCGCCGTTGTGCATGATTTACAGGAAAGTGTATACAGTTTATACCCGTCAGGTATAATGTCAATTCATGCCAATTCATGATGAAGGAAATGCTGCTAAGTGCAGGCTCTGCGCCGCGTAATATTGCTTAAACTGCATTTTCAAACATTACAGTGACGTAACTACTAAAATACTATAGCTAATTTAGCGAGAATACAACAGGACTGAAAGGCATATGTTTGTAACTATGTATAGTTTTTGCTACCCTATTCAAAGAGTTTTGGATGTTAAAATAAAAGTTAAGAAATCATAGTTACAGAAAAATGTGTGTTATCGCATTTTACCTCCTTCCTCCTTTCACAAGAGAAATCTACCAATATGTATATATATATAAGGTATTGAAATACCGTTTAATTGCCCCAAATATGGTTTAATTTTGTGCAGCCTTATCCAGTAAAAAAATAAAGTAAGGCGCGCAATTCTTGTATTCTTTTAATGGAAAATGTCAGCATCAATCTGAAGGCAAGTAAAATGGACTTAGCATATTCAGGTTAATGTTCTTAAATTTCACATTAAGTTTAATACGTGATTTTGAACCTACTTAAAATTGTGGTTCGTTGTATACTTTCTGAGCAATAAATTTCAAGCATTAAACCGTCAAGAAAATGAGACAGTTTTAAACTTTCTTTGCATTTCAGAGCATATATTTAAAATTTAATGTTTAGGGAAGATGTTTCACTACTTGCATGGAAGCTTTTAAACTATGTCTCAGTTTTATCGGTTTATATGTATTAATTTTTGTGTATGATTTACTAAAAATGTATAGAACTAATGAGCCTTTAGCAATTTTTTTAGCAATTTGTTCTCAGTTTTATCGGTTTATATGTATTAGTTTTGTGCATGATTTACTAAAAAAGTATAGAACTAACGAGCTTTTAGCAATTTTTTATGCGTTACCTTATTTAAATGACTCTCAAAAAAGGATGTACTCCCTGTTAGTGCAAAAAGTATTTGCTTCTCTAGTAGTACAATTGCAACAACTACATTATCTAGCTCTCGTTATAATTTTGCATATTGATGAACGCCTAATGTATTTCAACAAGATCTTTCCGAAAGCCAGTATGTTTTTTTTTTTTTTTTTTTTTTTTTTTTTTTTTTTTTTTTTTTTTAAATATAAGTGAAAGCAGATATATAAACATTATGAAGAAATAACCTCTTTGATGAAAATATTCAGTAGAAAATTATTATTTCTCAATCAACATACCACTCCCTTCTCCTTATAATGATGTTAAGTAGATTAGTGTCTAGACAAAAACTGTACACTTGCATAAAGGAAAAACGTTTTAAAAGCTGACTATACCTTTTTTGTTTGTCTGAGAAATAATACCATTCGTCTACTTAATTACTATTTTTCAATGGCCTATTTTGTAGATTTCTTTTTCTCAGGTGGATGTTAGATGATGACGTGCTTCTTCTAATTTTGCCTCTGCAGAAGCATGTAAAAAGAACTAATCTAAATCAATTCTTAAGATTTGAAACAAAGGGGGTGAAGGACCTCATATGAATAGAGGAAAATAGAACGTCACCGCATTTTTCGAAGCCTTAGAAGAACCCACACACACTAGCATCCGAAAAGGTGGAGCAAGAAGAAACCGATTTTTTTCTGTCTTTTGGACAGTAATTGCTAGTCTTCATCCATCAGGTCGCGAACTCCGAGGAAGTTATAGATTCTTTTGCTGGATACAGAAGATAAGGGAAAGAGGGAAAAAAAACAAGATCGCAGTCATATATATATACCAAAACCATCAGTTTAAAAGTGTGCGTGTTTGTAACAATATCGTTCCATATCCTTAGGACGAAAGACATCTCCAGCAATCGCAAGTAGGAAATATTTGCAAAGGGTCAGAGCCACAACCGCAATCCCTCCGCCAGAGTGTTATCCGTGACAATGGTTAAATAACCTGTTTCGCTTTCGGTTTGATTCCAAATGGATGTCAGTCGTTTTCATATCACAGATAGGCATTTTAAAAGGCAGTTTCCCTGATAGCAAACGTAAAATTCAAAAGTCGTGAATAAAGTTCCTTTCACTGTCCGTACTGAAAATGTACGGTTAATGGTAATCTTTCGAACTGTAAGCTAAAACGTGCTGAAATATATCATTTCTTTCTCTTCATGGATTAGACGTTGCCCTTTTGGAAGACACACTCCAGATAAAACAACTCACGAAAAATTCTTAACGATATTTTAGATTCCAAACACGTTTATCTGGTCATTCTAAGACTTTATTCGTCTTATTTTTAAGTCCATTGCTTTCAACTAGCTGGAGTTCTTTTCTGTGAATGCAAGCGACTACTTCTGTGGAAATTCTAAGAACTCATTTATATTTCTTTTCAGAACGAAGGTCAAAATTGAAAATAAAAATAAAAATTAATGGGTACCACCCGTTTTTCTATTTAAAGATAACGTAGAATTAAGACCATTCTCTGCCATAAAAATACTGTTTGGTTGCGCCAAACATAGTTTAATGTTCCATCTCTATCTATTCAGTCACGTTCTTATGAAATGGCTCACACTTGGAACAGCTAATGAAATGATTTACAAATAAAGATTTGATTTTGAAGGGAAATACTTTGAAAATACTGAAATACTTAATGAAATATTTTGAAATTCAAATTGACAATAATATTGTTATTATGAGTGCCTTAGTTTCACAGAACAGTGTAACTAGAGAAGTCATTTCAGGCATAGAGTGTGCTAAAACCTGGACAAAATGTAAATAACTTTCTTCACCTCGCATTATTTTAGCTAACGGGAAATGATTATAAAAATAATTCCATGTAAAATAAAAACTCTTACATTTGAAACTATCGAAACTTTTGTTTCCGATCGTTTCGCTGAAATAGTAATTTTCAAATTTAGTATTATTTTCATCATTTGAGATACAAACATTTGTGAGTCTTTTTTATCGTGCTTCAAATTTTCACTTTTATATACATGTTATTTGTTACATTACATATACTCATTATGGACTAATCACATCATTAGCTCCAGCTAGTTGTGTTTCATTACATATAAACATTTTCATATTGTTCGATTTATTAATATCAGTACTTTATGCAATAGAATTGCCTAGCATAGCAGATACATATTTTTGAAACCAGGCGCTATGGTAGAAGTATTTTATCGTTCTTTCCAAATATAAATTCTCTCTCAATCATTCACACCCATTCGTATTAACCCACCTCACAGTGTTCATTTAAAAATATGAAATTTAAAAACAAAAGTCGGGATACAATTTACAGCAAAAGCTATATACATTCTATCTAACTGAAATTAATTAAAATTTTATTAATTTTTTTAAGCATCCAGGTTTCCTCTTAAAATTTTGCATCAGTTTTAGTGAGCTTAAAATCCATTTAGGGAAAAAATGGCTAAATTTAATCCTTAAGAAATTGTCACAAACTAGCAGTTTTAAGAAGGATTTTTACAGAAATTACTCACAGGAATTTTCTTAGAAGGGAAGGTTATTAACATGATCAAAAATGACGTGATAGAATGTTCAGTTAGTAGATACTAAAAATAGAAATCTTTTCCGATCTTTGAGCTGTAAAAAAGAATTATGCTTAAATTTAAATAAAGTTTAAAATCAATTTACCTTTACAAACATGTACTTAAGCGACTGTTCTCTTACGCCTGAAGGGGAACCTCGTATCTATATCAAAAGTTCTAATTTTCACTTTTAAAGAGGGTATATTCCATGGAACGCATTTAATCAAATTTCCTTTGAATTATCGTTACAAGTCAATTAGTTCCTCTGCATTAAAATTACATTATATTTTACTTTCTTTTCAGCTGGATTTGACATCTTGGTTAGCAACTGCTTCGCTCACAATGGGGCCCAAAAACGAATGCAGCTTATCGATTCAAACGGGTATGATTGTTTTGAGTTTACGCTGAATTAAAACATATTTTTACTCACTTTTTTTCACAAAACATTCTTTAAATTTCGTTTTCATTGTTTTAGATGCGTTGTCCAGGAAAAACTTGTCAGTCCTTTCCGTGGAGTGAGCAGTCCAGACAGATCTCAGCAAGTCACCTTATATTCGTATTTGAAAGCATTTCGATTCACTGGAAGTCCGGCTTTGTACATCGAGTGTGATGTTCATATGTGCCATGGATCCTGTCCTGTAAGTACTACAAGGTTTGACTTGATTTGGTAGCATAAACTAGTATCAAACTCCTGACTAACGTTAAGCGAATTATCGCTATTCCCAGGCAGAACATCCAAGTTTTAAGAAGGTCATAAATGACCTTCAATGACCTTCTCTCCGTCCTTACAAATCATCCAACCACTTTTGGCGATGCAACTTAAAGTAACAGTATATTCAAATTTAAAATTAAGCTAGTAGTCAAAGACTACACTATTCAATTTAAAGTTGGCTCACAAACTGACCAAGTATTTAAATGTCATCACTATAAGGCAAAGCCGAAAAATGAAATCTTATCTGAGGTAGAGAAAACCTATGAACGTGGCATCTAGAGGCAGAAGCATGCTTTGTCTTAGAAACCAACAATCTCGGCTTAAATTCCCTAAACTAATTTGCATTCTGGTAAGAAAGCGGAAGGTAAAAGTGGCAGTAAAGATCTAGATCATAACAACTGGTTAAATTCAAATAAAGGAATGTTATACTGCTAATACATTTGTGCTAATTTTATTCTGCAAAATATATCTGATTGTTCCCCACGTTAAACCTTAGGAATAAGGCCATTAATAACATCACTTTACAAGAAACTTTAAATAGAATTTAATCTGAAATAAAAATTCAAATGCGTTCTACATAATGAGAAATTTTGAATTATATTTTTCAGAAAATTTTTGTAGTTGTTTCCGAAAACTTCTGCCGCGGTCTTCTTTGTTTAACTTCAGTTTTCTTCATTCTTTCAGAATTATTAGCAAAATCTAACACTATTCAAAAGCCAGCCATAATGTTGAGTTTAATGCATTTTAAACACACCCTAATACATTTCCACTAATTATTTCTTCTATTAATATTAGTTTGGTATTTCACAGCCTTTGTAGAGACATTAGGTATTTTTTTGAAGCGGGCAAGATGAAAAATTAGCAACGCCTTCGCCGGGAATCGAACCGTGGACCTCTGGAATACGCGCCCAGTGTGCAGACCACAATACCACGAAGACATGCCAAGAAGGTGGTAGAAATACCTTACATATTCCCCCTTTTGAAGGGCGACTCGGGGTTTTTTTAGGGGTCCCAGTCACCAAATCCTGGGTGTGAAGAACCATCATTCAACATCCTTTCAATTCGGGCGCCACTGTAGAGACATTAGGTAATTTTTGGGAAGCGGGCAAGATGAAAAATTAGCAACGCCTTCGCCGAGAATCGAACCGCGACCTATGGAGTACGCGCCCAGTGTGCAGACCACCACACTACAAAGGCATGCCAAGAAGGTGGAAGAAATACCTTATACCTTCAGCAGCCCATAATATTTATGAAAAGCTTTTCGAAGTAATAATATTTTTATAACCTAACTTAAGCCTGAATCCTCCACGAAAATATTTTACATATATGGCAAATCGTTATTTATTCCATAAAACCCGAACAAAAGGAAAAAAATTACAACTTTTATTTTAAACCATTTGAACTTGTGATATTTCAGAGTATCATAAAGCGGGAATTACTTTTTTATTCGTAAACTATTAGCTGCTGCATATTATGCACTGCAGATATCTCTCTTTTCCGCATACATAAATACGTTTTCCTAAGAGTTTGCTTAATTTTTCTTGAAAAAAATCATTATGGCTCAGGAAAAAAAAAAGTCCTGAAGCATATTTTTGGTTTTCCTTTTTACGTTGTAGAGTTATTAGATTTGTCGAAGCAGGAAACATGAGCAATATTCTCGTCGGGATGCAATTCCAAGCCTTCGGATTGCTAGCTGGATGGCCTATACCGCGCAGGCACGCGGTAAGGAGGAAAAAAATACTATGCTACGCATTTGAGTAAGAACTGCTTTATAGAAGTCATTATTTAAAACATAATAAAAGCGCTATGACTTAATAAAACGAATTATATACCATATTTTCCAAACATATACTGTTTCACATTGGAAGATCACGGTAATTCAGGGTGAAGCATAAGGATGAAGCTAATAAAGGCAATAATAAGGCATAAGGATGAAACTAATAAATCTTAAGTAATCTATCTCCATTTAATCTAACTAGCATATATACTATATAAAATTTCTGATGATACACTAATAAAACTTTTTTTTCTTAATTTTCGCTTTGATGAAGAAAGGCTAGATTATGACCTAAAACAAATCTGTCTGAACATATCTTTAGCTTATCGAAATGGTCATTGCTATATGTCTGACTTCTTAGAAAAAATATAACTGTATCAACAGTTTTCCAAGATTTTACATCGTGAAACGTCAAAGTTAGTGAAGAATTCAATCAAATTTGTTACATAGTGATATACATAGCGATCTATGAATTCCTCCAAATTTTCTAAAGTTTATAGTACAATAGTTACAATAAAAACATCTATCAAAAGGCTATCTGCATGTCTTCGTGGTTTTTCCCATAAAATATATAAAATAAATGTCAACAAATTTCTTTTAAGAAGACTCCCTGAAGGCGTCTCTCCAAGAAGAATAGTTCTGGTTTTTATATTATCAGCTTATTTTCTATTCTTTAATGTTAACTAAAAAGTCGGAAATAAAGATTTAAATTAAAAACATGCAAATAATTTATTACACTCCTTAAATCATAATTATCCAATATGGATCGGCATTTGAATTCCTATATTTGAGAAGAAAATTTTCATAAAAAAATTACAGAATACCCTCCTGTTGGAAAAATTCCATTGAGATATTAAATTGCTGATGTCATTTTTATCCTTAAGAGGACGGTGAGCTTTAAAAATTAGTTTTTCAGGTTTTTTGGTTTTCAACAAGAAACGTTACAGATATACATATTATAACATCAGTTTATGAAATATATGTTCAAAATTTCAATTTATTTTAAATTAAAAAATTTTAAAACAAATAATTAATTATTTTAATTAAAGATTTAAAATGCTCCTTGCGCTCTAATTTTCAATATTTTTTCCTAATTTTTCCTTTTAGTTAGTTATGTTTTTCTTCAACCTTACCTTTAATACATGGTTATGAGAAACAGTAAATTAACTTTAAATATGAATTTGTAGACAGTAGCTAACGTTTTCGTATCATTTAACTATTTTTATCTCATAATATTAAATATGAAAAATATAAAAATATCTCAAATTGGTATGTGATTCAAAGTTATAGGGAGAAACGATTTATGCATTATATCCAATGAAACTTTTAAAATTCACACGCATCATGTGTTTTACCTTCATTTGTTGCATTTACATTATCTTTTAATCTTTACAATATTTTTTACTATTTCTGTTTTTTATCAAGCAGGTAAATTTCTCTTTTCGCTTTGGTTCAAGCGACGTTCATTACGCTTTTTTGCAACGAATAGGGAAAAGAAGCTTGTTATTTCCTCTTTTTCTACGAGTATAAAGCATTTACATAACCAAAGCTGAATTCATTTAGTTGTTAATACTGACATTTGTAGCCTTTTTTTTACAAATAAACACTTCTTTTGGACAAATAACATAATATAATTTATAACATTACTAAATAACTGTTAAAATACATTTTTTTACGTTTCCTCCAAAATTTTAAGGACAATGTTTACGTTGTTTACACATTTTAAATGTTTGTAACTTCTTTAAAACTTAAAATATTTGAATTCGGTTTTTTGCATACGAGGAAGTTATGTATATGGAATATTACGAGAGTAAAAAACCAAATTCAATACGTTGGTTGATTTTTAGCTAAAGTCCACCGTCCCCTCAATAACATTCTCCTCTTAAGTTAATTCGAATTATAGTAAAGCATTTAAATTTTACTATTGGAATATATTTAAAATGAAATTAATCAATTTAACTTATAAGGTATTTCTCCCACTTCGCTAACGTGCCTTCGGGGTGTAACGGTAGCACGCTGGGCCGGTATTCCAGAGGTCCGTGGTTCGATTTTCGGCGAAGGCGGTTGCATATTTTTCATCTCTCTGGCTTCCAATTATTCTAATGACTCTACAAACTAAGTTTATTTCAATTACGAGATTTCGTAGTACTTTGTTCATAACGGGCATATAAACAATTTCAAATCTGTTAATTATAAATTTTAACTCAAATTCATTTGCATTAATGAAAAATTAATGGTTATCCTCTAATTTCTTTCAGCGTGATTCCATGTGAATATATTGACATGATTACAAGCTAAGTTAGCGGAAGAGGTTTTAAAATTCGTTAAACTGTATATTCCGGACTCAAACTTCATTTAAAATCCTTGTTTGACTAAACTTTTATTTATTGCAAATCGCTGAAACTACTTCTTTACAAAACGACGGAAACAAAAATTATATTAAGATCATAAAATTTCATTTTTAACTTAATTTCACAAAACGAATGATCATCTGTAAGCTCATTATAATATAAAATTCAGGTGCTAACTTGTAACAGATATTTTTAACCTAGGATAAAATCATTAAAGTACCGACACGGTCTGTATTGTGGCTAACGATGGCCAGCTGTTAAACCATTTGAGTATAAATTCGAGTCCCCGATCAGACTAGAGGTTTCCGACGGTATATTGTTTCTGCGCAAAGGACCATCTTTAACATATTAATGCAAAGATCCCTTCAAAGGCTGGTGTTCGGAAAAGGAAAGTTGCAAGACTCTTTCTACAGGTGACCAGTCTTTTCGTCCACAAAAAAAAGTACTTTCTTACTTCATCTATACTTATTCATATACCATATTCATATCATATTGTTGACTGTATTCCAGAACATGGCAATAAGGAACAATAAGCGCAATCTTAAGCTTTGCAAAAGTGACAAATATCTCTCTCTCTCTCTGTCTGTCTTTTTTTTTAACATTTCGAAGAGAGATGCTACCGTTTCCTTTATTCGAATTTCATGTCAATATAAATTGTATGCTTTTGACTTGCAGGAAATGTTTGTTGCAAGCCTAGTGTGAAGCGATTCATTTAAAAAAATTACATTTTGAATAAGTCTTTTCTTTATTAAATTAGTTCAAAATTCTATGCAAGGCTTTAATTTGTGAAGGAATAAT